TAACTTTGCTTCAAATATTTTTTTTGTTGTTGACACAGTAAACTTTGAATACATGTGACGATACAAAATAAAGAAATTTTTTCTTGTAAAATTTAATTTAAACAGAAATATATGCAATAAGGTGTGAGTTTTCGGTTCATCTGCAAAGCCATATATTCTATTGTCTAGGAATTCGTTGTATTCTTCACTTTTTCTTCTGGAGAAGTGTTTCTTTTTTTTTGATTTTGGGACAATTATCAATTTTGTTTGCGTTTTGTTTCAACAAGCAAGTCGTTGCAAATCTTCTACACTAAGAAAATATTTTTTCACAGTTACAGTTTATTGTCTGTCTCTTCTGAATAGATCAATCAATCTCATTCACATTTTTCTAGCTAATACTTGTTATTGATATCTACTTTTAAGAATCATTTGGATCATAAACTCGATCATTCGATTTTATTGTAATATAAGATTATCTGATTTTCTTCAATATGTCATTTCTTGAACTCTTGTAAAGACGTTCTTTCTCAGGCATTCGCCATCAACGAAATTCAGAAACTCTAAGATATTATCAGTTAAATCTTCTAATCTTAAATAAATATATTTCTCCTGAATAATTGAAAATTCAGATAAAATTAGAATTGACTTGTATCACAAATATTCACTCTATTCGTTAATTAACCTTAAGAAAATCTTATATTTTGTGTTTGAATATTTGGAATATAAATATTTCAAAAGTTACTCAAAAATAAAAGAGAACTTTGCAAGGTCACGATCTGTAAAATGATAATGCTAAAATCTTTCAGAACGCTGGTAGAAGTAGTTAATAGTTATGTCATTGATTGTTTTAAAAACTACGCAGTGAAAACAAAAACAAAAAAAAATGTCTGTTAACTCCTACTCAAGTATTCACTAGTCAAAGAAACATTTGAATCATTAGCCTTAATAGTTATTTCCATACAACGTAGTATTTATACGCAAATTTTTTGATTGCTGGTAAATTTATCAATAAAAATCTTGAACAAATTGTTCAAATTCTTCTGAAAAATCATGATCTTTATAAATTTACTTATGCGCTCATTAAAAAAATGTGTTTTTTCTTAACTACTGTTTCCTCATACATTGAGATAAGTCCAGTGAATGCAAAAGTTAATTTCGTCAACTGTTGTCTTTTTAAAGAAGACTCATGGTTCCACAGACTACGCATGCCTTTTTCTTTTCATATCGAATATAATTGTTGTTTACTCTTTTCAAGGAACTATTGCCTTTAGTCAATTACTTTTTGGTTAAAGAAAAGCATCAAATTTTGATAGCATTTGATATCAATATTTTCGAAGTAAATCATCAGTTTGAGAAGAAAGTTAGGAGATTTACAAAACTTTCACTTTGATCTGATTATCTATAGATGACTGAATCAATTTGTTTGATCTGCCTCCTCTATTTCTTTTTTCATAGATCTTTTAAAGTTCTACAAAATATATCTTTTTCTCTATTGCATTCATGTTATCAATTTTGAGTGAATAATTTTATCTTATATTTTTGAGAAAAATTGTTTTTCATAACATCAGTATGTGTTTCACCTCTGCAAGTGTTTTATACGAGACTTATCATTTCAATGGAATAATATTCATTTATCTAGCATCTTCTATTGAATTTTAAAAAGAACACTAAGATAATTTTAATTAAAGCTGCAAAAATCGTGGAAAAATATATCCAAGCAAGTAGGATATGAGACAACAAAATTTCAAAACAGGATACTTTTCAAACATAAGATTGTCAATATAAATACCTTTAGGAATATAGAGAATGTTACAAAATTAAAATCATAATCATCTAATATGATGAATATTATTCCATTGAAACGATAAATTTTGTATTAAATCTATTCAGATAAAAAAAACACATAAAGCTGTTATGAAAAAAATTCTTCTCAATGAAATGTAAGATGAAATTAGTCATTTGGAGATTAGTACGATAGGAAAATAACATTGGACTAGATTGATGCATTCTACAAAATTATATATTTCAATCAATGAACAGTTTATAAATTCATTGTCTTCTTAGATTAACTTGTCATATATGTTTATCTACATCAAAATGGTAATGAGACAAATGTTTGTAAGGTTTCTTACATCAAACTATCAGCTGTAACTGGGAGTTTCTACACTGAAAAAACTGATTTTGGTGTGGGTGAGTTTGGATGAGGTCAGAAAGAAGAGATTCACCCATATCCCACAAAAAAGCTTGTCAAACTCGTGAGAATGTGCGTAGGGCACATCTGAAATTCATTTTTCTGTGACTCCGTGTGGAAGATGCAAGAACAAAAATAAATGGTAATTAACAGCTGGTAATTTCTTTATATAGTTATAAATGACTTAGTATTTTAGTGACCATTGATATTTCGTATCTTATATGCATATACACGTTAATTATCGTTTTGTGTAAATTAACTTTATCTATGCAAGAGTGTCGAAGATTTACTATCTATACAAAATAAAAAGAACAATAATGTTCTAATAAAGGATATGCAATTGATATTCGTTATCAGTCAATGTTCAACTTCATTTATTAATATAGATAAATTAGATTGTAAAAAATAACTATGAACATATATGAGAATTATGAAAATTCTGCAGTCAGACGTCTTTTCTACTCGTGCTTAGTTTGAGTGGAGGTCTAGTTTAAATATGTTACTGTTATTGAACAATGAAATGTTATAATAAGTTTTAACTTTTAAAATATTAATATATAAGGATAAATTTGAAATAATATAATTATTTATTGTAAGAATATTCAAAAATAGAATACATTTCAAGTTGTTTATTTTCGATCAGTTATATGTGAGAAAGGAAATAGAACAAGATGATAAAGGGAAGAGGAATTAAAATAGCGTTTGGTATCAAAATGTAACTGAAAATAAATTGATTATTAATAATAAAAAATATCTTTTGGTTAAATATTAGTGTTATTGTTTTCATGTAGAAGTAATTTTTGTATACATTCTAGTGTACAACTAGCAAAGAATCTTAGTATAATTTAATATCAAACTGAAGATCTTTTCATCTGACTTAACTTACGAAACGAAATTTAAAAAGTTTTGCTTTATTCATGCTGAAAACTTCTTATAATTCTTTCATACCAACAAGTGTAACTAGAAAGAAATAAAGAAATATTGGCAGTTTCATTTTATTATAATCATACAAAAAGTGTATCCTCATCTATTGTGTTACGAATTTCTGTTCGAAAAGAATGAGTATTTGAACTTTGCAGATCATGCAATTGTTTCTCATAAAGTTGATCATATTCATATTCGCCATTAGTAGTAAGAAATTTTAATTTCGGAAGATTGTTGATAAGTAAATGTGATGCTTCAATGACTTGCAAATGAGGATGTCGCTCGACAATTTAATAGGCAATGTTTACCAAATTTGGTTGTCACGAAACAGGAAAAAGATTGAATTATCGTAAGCCATTTGACATGAGCATTCTGCATAAAGAAATATTATCGAATAGATAGATTAAATTTTCCTCTTTCAAATAACATTTAGTATCATATTCTGATCTATAATGCAGTTCCAGAGTACGTAGATTAGTCGTTTGCAAAAAGACAAAGATGAGTTGAATTGAATGGTTGAGTATAATACTAAGTGGGTGTGGGGTGTGGGTGTGGGGTGTGGGTGTGGGTGTGAGTGGGTGTGGGTGGGTGTGGGGTGTGGGTGTGGGTGGGTGTGGGTGTGGGTGTGGGTGTGTCATTTGTCTTTGCCGACACCCATACCCACACCCACCCATACCCACACCCACACCCACACACACCCCACACCCACACCCTTGTTTATATATGTCAGATGTTGCATATTTTACTCCTTCTAATTAGCTAATAAATCTGAAGAGTGATAATGACAAAACACAAAAACTGAATATGAGTAATGGGTTTTCAGGTAATCCTATGTGTGATAACGGTGTCATGTTTTTTTGACTTCTAATTATATGCGAAATGAACGAGTTCATATAGAGATGAAACTTTTGTCCCGCACTAATTATTAAAACTTTTGATAAGGCATTTCCTAATATTGTCCTGTACCTATTTTCAATTATTATTCTTCATTTGTCTTTGTTAATGATTGATTCGAAAAAGAATCATATTGGGTTTTTATATTCTTATTTCTGCTATTTAATTTATTTATCAAAATAATAATATCTTAATATAAATCATTATTATATATTTAAAATATACATATATATAATTCAACAAAAAAAAAATTGAATAGAATAAAAAAAAATGTTACATTAACCACCAGCAATACGACGAGCGCCAACAACACGACCACGATGACCAACAACACGACCACGATGACCAACAATACGACGACGGTGACCAACAACAGGAGCTTGACCACGACCACGACGAATCACAACAGCAACTTGACCACGACGAACAACAATAGTAGCTTGACCACGACCACGATGAACAACAATAGTAGCTTGACCACGACCACGACGAACGACACCAGCAGCTTGACCACCACCATGACTGAGAACAGCAGCTTGAGTACCACCATTACCGACAACAGCAACTTGCCCATCATTAACTAGAAATACAAAAAAAAAGAAATATATATATATATATATATAAATGAAAACACATAATCTGAAGTGTTAAAAGAAATACTGAAGGTTACCTTGTTGTTGTTGTTGCGGCTGTAATTGTTGTTGCAGTTGTTGCACTTGTAGTTGCAATTGTTGCAATGACTGCTGTAATTGTTGTTGCAGCTGTTGCAATTGTAATTGCAATTGTTGCAATGGCTGCTGCAATTGTTGTTGCAATTGCTGCTGCAATTGTTGTGGCAGTTGTTGCAATAGCTGCTGCTGTTGATTCAGTTGTTGCAATAATTGAACTTGAAATGGTGATGCATGTGGAATTGGTACATTCTAAAGAACGGAAAACAAAAGATAGATGTAATATTAATCGAGAAGTACAAAAAAATGTATGTTAGTATTTTCATGCAGAGAAAAACAAAACCGTGCATTATAGAACTGCACCTACTTTTACATTACCAATATTAATTGGTTATATAGGAAGCATATAATGACTTATAATCTAAAAGAATTTAATAAATGTTAAGCGACAGATGACTAGACTTAGAGATGCTATAATTATGACAATTCGAACCGATGGATTAGAAGGTGATAGAAGAATGTGAACTATGGCTCACATGTTTCTATGGTTTTAGCTTTAAACAATCGTCGAGTACAAGAGAAACACACTTAAAAAGCCCTACTTTTATCATTTTTTCTTTCAACATTTTATCCTTCTGTTGTTTCTTGCACATTGAATTAATAATATCACAAATTAGAAAATGTTGTGATAACATATGTGAATACAACATTATATAATAGTAGAGTAACAAAGATGGCGAGAGACGACGACGAAAAGAATGACAATATAGTCATTCAATTCGCCAATCATTTCATAAACATTGTCTATATCGAAATGAAACTTGCTAGATGACACTATAGAAGATACGTCATACAGTGAATATTCGTAAAACGAACGCATGTTATATATTCTTTGATATCTATTAGATCGTTAATATCTTCTGCTTTTCACTAGACTACTAACATAACACATTTTGATTCCCTCCCCTCCCCCCAAACATAGAAAATTTCTAAGAAAACTCCTGAAAATTTTCCCAATTTTGCAAAAAAGTGAAGACCGGGAGGAGGGGGTAGCTTCGGGAAGGTCTCCCAAGCATAATCGATAAATTATGTATGATGTATTGTTGTTCATCGGATATATGTCGATCAGTAATCGAACAACATTTAAAACATGATTTATTTAAACGTTTTGATAAAAAAAGAAGATTTTTTTTCAATGAATTTAATTATTTGGAAACAATTCGTGATATAAATCGTCAATATGATGAAATTGATTTAACAAATTGTATAATTGATGAAAGAATTTTTTTAGAAAATAAATTTCAACTAAATGACTTATGTAATTCATTAAATGAAAATCAATATTCAAAATCTTCTCAAAATCTAACACCATTAAGAGCAAATCAACATATTACATCGAATGATTATCAAACAATTTCTTTTAATCAATCTTTAACATTCATATCTCAAGCTAATCAATTAATTAAATTATTATATTCAATTATTCAACAGCAACAGCAAACAAAACCAACAAATAATCTTATTTCAATTATTGGACAACAAACTTTTTTATCAAATCGAACATAAAATAAATTTGTTTTTCTTTCTCAAACCTTCATCATGTTTTTTCATCACAAGATTTTCTTAGTGGAACTTTCAACTTTATCTTTTGCTTTTGTTCCCCTTCATATATTGAAAATAAAAAGCCTTTCGACAATTGAAACTAATTCGAAACCTATTTCAATTTGTCAATGTCACCTTTTTGATCAGTGTAGCAGCGACTAGCTAGAAGTCAACTATGATTAGTTTACTTTCGGTAATAGACAGAGAACAGTACTTAGCTAAATGTTACGTTAGAATCTATGATAAGAGAACCGTCAGATTTGTTTGACTCATATTGATTTGTATAGGAAAGAGACAATCAACCTGATTAACAATCAGATTTGAACTATATTTTAATAATAATTATGTGTTGAGAGTTGATCGATATAGAATTGATATTATAGATTGAAATTAGATGTAAATCAAATAAATAGTTTGCATTAAAATGAACAAGAG